AGAAGGGTTACACAATTGAAGTACACGGTGGTAATCAAGAAATCCAATTCCCACTGGGTCTAGAATCTCACAGTTTGCATAGATTTTAGAGGGCTTAGAGCACATTTGAACATAAAAGCCTACTACAACTGGAGCAGCTTAGATATAAAAAACTATGAATTATGTGTACACAACAGTCTAATTACTGAACTTGGTCTTCGTGGACTATTTATGCAGAATTAAGCTAGATTATTAAGCTAAAAGAGAGAGAGTTATACTGTTGAAGGCATTCAAAACATCAAAACTGATCCCAATAGAGTATCGAGATACAAAAATTGGAGATTTCTTTTCATGCTTCAAATCTCAGGACTTGCGGAGGAATTTTCTAAATACACCTTTTGTCACGGAACTGCATACAACTCAAACTTCTTGGAAACGACAAGGAATGATACCTGGAATGTCCACGAAATCGGTGGATTCGAGATCATTCCAATGGTTGCTTCGTGCCACTAAGAGAAACTTATGACACTTGAGCTCGCGACCATCCACACGGATGACAATATCACTGAAGGCAGAGCACTTACACGCACTGACAATGATCTAGTAAATTAGCAATCCAACGCATATATCAATGGCCCTCTAAGGGTTCGAATTCCTTATTTACAGGTTCTATAACAACCTGTGCCTGGGCAATTACTTGTGACTTGATAAAGTGCGAATCGATTATTAACAGAATTGAATAAAGGACAGACATATTGGTGATGAACGAAACTCACCTGAAAGTATGATTCTCGAACAGGTTCCTCATAGTAGCACACAGTTGTCCAGCCAAAGTAGAGGCATCCGGTACTTGATCCGGATCAACTTTGCTTTGCAAAGTTGCGTACTTCTGTTGAAGCTCTCCATACTTGTTGAGTAGCTCAAGATGCTCATCACGAAGTAGATTGAGGTGGTTCAAAGAACCCATCAAATGCACGGTTCCGTCATCTTTTCGAGGAGTTATTTTGTGTACGCAATTTTGCGTCCCGCCCTCCCATTATTGCAGATTCCTGTTGAATAATTTTTGAAATTTCTGAAAGTTTTCATGGTCTGTCATCGTTATTGACAGCTTCCACTGTTGTCAAAGTTTTCCAAGTTAAATATTCTCCTAACCTCCTGTAGTTTTTTCTTGACGCTTTGCTGTCTTGAAACATTCTATTGACCGTTTTCGCCAAGGAAATTTACCTCAAGTGTTCAAAGGCAGTATAAATCCGGCATACTGCCACCGAACGAACCATCTCCTTCCCAACTTCACCATAATTTAAGATTTTTAGAGGTCGAGGGAGGGCGCGAGGTCACTGTCAATAAACTCCTACGTACCGTAGCGCTCAAAAGTCTTCGGTGAAATACTTTGACGCTTTTTCGTTCATAACTTTT